CAACGTACCGACGCGGCATCGCTACCGCAGCCCATTGCCCATCACAGCCTTCCATTGACGCATCGGCGTTCTACGCCACACAGCTGGACGATCCACTGATCACGGAGCTATACCCCATTCGGAACGTCACCCAAACAGTAACGTGGATGCCCTACGTCATTCGGTTGCGCGTCCACACGGATTGTGCCTCTGCCATCAGACATCTCAAGTCAACGCGATCTCTCCTACGTATCTGCCATGAGATTCATGCCTCACATCGTACACCTGGTAAAGAAATCCGAATTCTCTGAATCACTGGTCACCAGCACAATACTCACCCCGAGAAAGCCCACCATGTTGCTCGAGCCCTAATTACCTCCCCCCCGATCCAAACAAATTTTCCTGTTTCGAAACACGCAAGAACAATAGACGTTTTAAAAACACGCCCGATTAAGCCACCATTGCAGACCTTCACTTGCCTAACCGAGATGCCGAGCCACTGAAGCGGGCGTTGACGAGCCTCCACAAAGGCCTAAAGGCGTCCGCTAGGGAGGAGGACACGGTGGCACCTAAAATGGCAATAACTTGTCCTGCTGTGGCAATGATGAAGTGAGGCGAAATGAATAGGAAAAAACCATCTGAAGGTCGGTTATGACGGCGCCCGTGCACAGCTGCCTGAAAGCATCTATACAATTGTAAAAGATCCGGAGAGATGGGCATGATTGATAAGTTGATTGAATATACAGTGCCAAAGACGCTTATATTGGCGAGGAACACTTCTAGTACGATGGTATTCCATGGTGATCTTGGTGCGACTGGATTAGAGCGACCCTCTCGAAGCTTTGATGATTTGAAAGGGCCGAAATGGTGACTGCCACAGCAACGGAGACCTATTAGCTAATCACCTTGCGAGGTTTTGGTCGTCTGCATTTTAGTATTCGTTTGTGTTCGGCTAGCATGCGGGGAATGCAATGGCGCTACTTTTTTCAAGATAAAGTGATTTTAGGTCATCTGAGGAGCTCGTGGCGTCGCACTGCGCAAACGCTAAGTTCTGCGTGCTTTTTGGGTGCTTTGTCGTGCGATTGGAGCCCCGGACTAGGGGCACCCAGCCAAAACTGATTCCTCGATCAAGACCACCTATCTGTTCCTAGTCCACCTATCCCCTTCTTTTCATAAAATAAAATATGTTTTTAACAACAACATGTTTTCAATGGGCAGAACGTGAGGAAAAAGAGTTTAAAAATCAATACTGAACGCAGATGGCGAGCCTTGCACGAAGAGCATGCTATTTTGGCCATCCGGCGACTTGCTTGTTTCTTCTGGAGCATGCTTTTAAAGTATCATGCTGCCACTATTCTAATTTGGTGAGGCCGGCGGTTACCCAGAAAGTCCGTCTGTAGTGGGGTGCCTCGAAACGCGGATATTCCTGTAAACGAAGGAGGTGATCACTTGGCACGATTTTCTTTAGCTGCTTCTGTCATTAAAACCATCCCTCCACTGGTTCACGTACTCCATGCAAGCTTTAGCAGAACGCTCACTAAATTTGCTTAAGTTTTAAACGTCATGTTTTTTAGTTTCGTTTTTTTCAGCACGAGTTCAGTGCGAGGCTGGCAACGGCATGGCTAAGATGCCGGGTTATTAACGTGAAGCTCTACGCTAGCAGAATCTGGCATTGTAACGGCGCTCGTTGTACTGAGGTTTAATTTACACACCATGTATTTCTATTTGGTCGAAAATATACGGTTTTATGCCAACTTTTGTTAAAATAAGTTGAAACGGCCTCTCTCGGGCATGGTGGGCTAGAAGGGGGAGGTGGGGACGATTGCGCTTCTTAAAGTGACTTAGTGATTCAGCATGCGAAGCTGTGGTGGGTTATAGCGGGGCAGAGAGCCATCGAAAAGGGGGTAGCTGCGCCACCCTGCACTGCAGGGAATAGAGGGTGAAAGGAGTACATCGAGGCCCACCATAGCTTCACAGCAGCCCGTCTTCATTGCTGTGAGCTCAATGTGCCGTGCCCAATTTCGTTATGGCTAACAAGGAGATATTCATTATGCGGCAATTCACAATTGCGATTAGTGCGGCGGAGTGCCGCTGTGTCGCTGCTTTGGGCATAACGATGCTAACTCTGTGTGCTGAACGTCCTGGCCATTTTTTCCCGCGAGGCGAGCGGTAGTCACACCTCCCCTTTTAGCTCGGGTACTGTATCTCGGGTAGAGCGTAATGAAAGGACGAGTGGGGCCACCGGAGTGCTATTTCCGCACCTCCGTATGTAAAAAAAAAAAAAAAAAGAAAGACACAGCTAATTTAAGTTACTTCGCTCGTAGCGCCCGGGCGCTACGAGGGAAGTGGTTTGGATTATCCGTTGTTTATGAAAAACGCGTTGCGTTCCAACGCCAAGCTCGACCGGCAAGCTGGTGAAGGTCATAGAAACAATAGAACGCCGGGCTATATTTTTTTTACACAACCTAGACGTCAGGCGTCACGTCAATACTTAACGTCACCGTGACCATAGGCGTGCGCAGGATTTTTCATTAGGGGGGGCGAGATTTCCCCTGAGCGCCCCCGCCGCCCCCCCCCCCCTCCCCCCCTCTTTCTATTAACGCACTCCCACTGATGTCCTTACGCTCATATGGTAGTGCTGAGACGAGATATAGTTATGAAACGTTTATTTCAACAATATTGAATTGTAACATATACAAAATATTATTAAGCAGTAGGTTTCACTTTCTTGTGAAACGTCCGCAGAGAAAGGCAGTCCCTGCGCAGCTGAGGCGTCAGTGACACAACGCGCATACAATTTCTTTTTTCTTTCTAAACCAGAGAAAGAGACGATACATATGCCATCTTTAACAGCACAGAATATTTAAAAATATTGCCTCAACGTGACTCTGCTTGTATGGAAAATATAGTATACATACAGGGCAAACGCATGGGTGCACCTACACATGGCGAAAGCTGTCATACGGAGTCTGCAACGTTCATGCAGAGGACGAAAAACGCCACCCAATACACAACGTAATAGCAAAGCTTAAAGGCACGAGAATATACCGCAGATTAAAAATGTGCGAGACAGCAAGTTACAATATTTAGTAATTATTGAAGATAAACGCTATGACATGGCATTTTTTTTCTTCTGAGCATCCAAATGTACAGTTGATAATCTTACTTTCTGGCACTTGATAGAAACATGTAATAGAAACAACAAGATAACACGCGCGCATTATATCATGCTCAACAAACATTATACAAACTAATGGATATGTTATGTGGTGGTAAAAATATTTTATGACTAGATTACTGAAAATCTGTAGCACGTGGGAGATATAGCACTTTTTACCAATCGTGAAAAGTCTAAAGCAAAATTCTACGCGATTTTGTCGCGAACTGTTCGATGACTGACTGCGTCGCGGCGTGTTTTTATGGTTGTTTTTTTTCGTTGCGCGCACTAGAGGGAGGGAACTTTGGCGTCGGTGTTTTATGCCGTCGCACCTCGAGTCGGGCCAACTTTGCGCCCCCCCCCCCCTAGATGATTAGAGGGGGCGGCCGCCCCCCCCCTGCCCCCCCTGTGCGCATGCCTGTGACCGTGACCTGACTTGTCGTCACAACGCCATGCGACCATCACGACGACATTTTGACGTCATCGTCATCACAACGCGCCTTACACGACATCAAAACTGCGTTCTGACGTCATATTGCGTTGACAACGACGTCGATGTCAGCGTTGACGAGGACGACGACGACGTCACGCGACGTCAAGACGACGGCGTCCTTGTCAAAGCGACGTCATAAAGACGCTTGGCGTCAGGTCATCGACGTCATTGTCAAAATGATGCAACTCGACGTCACGACGACGTCCCGACAACTTCACAACGTCATCGTCGACGACGTCACACGGCATATATCAAGACTTCGTCGTGACGGCGCGTCAACGTTAGAAGGCGACGACGTTACACGTCGTCAAGGCTTCGTCGTGACGTCATTGTGACCTCGACGTTGACGACGAGGTCAGGACGACGTTAACGTGACGTTATAGGTATGTTTGAGGTTGCGTGGGGCGTCGACGTCAACGTCGGCATCGACGACCACGTCCACGTCGTCCTCGACGCGGCGCCACGTCATGACCGCGTTACAACGGCGACTTGATTTCGCGAAACGGCGTCGTCCTCGATGCGACACGATGTCACGACGGCCTTACGACACCATCTTGGCGTCGTGTAACGTCGTAGTCGACGATGATGTCGGTGTGTCGTCGTTACGCCACGTCGTCGTGGCGTGGTGTTCTGACGTTACCTCTGACGTCAAAATCATAAAAAATACATTATGGCCCCTAAGGTGCTTAACTCAGTGTGGTACGTAAAGCTGTGCCCCTTTAATTTGTGAAACTTTTCCGGTTTTACTGATTACCTACAACTTGGAGTATTAAAAAAGAGAGTAGTACTAGTAGAAAACGTTTATAAGAGGGAAGGAAAATTAGGATGGCTTCACCAGTCATCTGGACGGGATGGGAGATGGGTGTTTGTATGGGATGGTAGCAGTGGCGTCACTAGGGTCAGCGGCACCCGGGACCTCCCCCCCCCCCCCCCCCCCCCCCCCTTTTCACTGCCCAGCTGCACCCCCCTGAGCGCTGCGCCCAGGGCGGTCCCTCCCCCCTTGTGACGCCACTGGTTGATGGGGTGAGATTCCGTGTTGTGTGAGGTTTGTTGACCTGACGCTGTCAAGGAGCGAGTCCATGGTCTGCTTTGTTTGTTATTGTGCTTATCTGGAGGTCACCAAGACTTTAGCCCAGTGTTCTCACCGTAGGGCATATAAATCTTGCGTGAATATGGAGAGAACTTTTTGTCGTTCTTTGCCTGTAGCCATGCAATCCCGGATAGGATTTCTGTAGGTAGCCTTGATTCTTGGCCAATTCTCCTTACGGGTAAATGCCCCCCCCCCCCCCCCCCCCCCACACACACACACACAAATACTTTCGGAAACAACAAGAACGTTTATTGGTTGCATAACAGGAGTGACGCTTCCTATGTCACGTGCCTCACCTCGACGTTGGTCTTCGCAGGAGTCCGTGTTTCTTCTGGTGGTGCAAGGGCGTGACCCTGGCTTTTTTGCTGGCGGCTTGCGTGACCTTGCCGTCGGTGGGTGCTCGACGACGGCGCATCTTTCATGACTGCACCGAGCGCCATCTGGAGGAGTCTGAAGACATCGCGGACCTGGTGGTCAGCGCCACCGTGGAGCGACTGCTGCACGGAGGGGCCCAGGTGTGCGAGTCTCACAAGGCTCTGATCAAAGTCCGAGCTCAAGTCATCGGCTTATAAAAAGACGGGGGTGGGGCGGCGCCACGGCCGGATCGCGGGAGGGGGGGGGGGGGGGGCGAGGCCCCACGGCCGAAGTTCGCCCAGGGCGCTTGATGGTGTAGGGCCGGCCCTGCAGGGCCTGCACACATTTGGGTTGGAGCACGATGCGTTCAGTTGTGGCAGGTGGCTGCAGAACTTTGCGGAGAGCGCTTGCACAGGGCTCGTGCACATAGTTGCGTCAACACGCATTCGGAACTCAAGAGCCAATAAGAACCGGTTATCGTCTCTCGAAGTAAAATCCACGGCATCATGGCGGCGTCCGGCGACTGCGCCGAGGTGACCAATCTTGGGAGGATTCCTCTAGAGCCAGTGTATATTGCCAGAGTTTCGCATTCGATAGCGCCCGCTGTTATTGTTAAATTTTAGCTTTGATCGATCGTTTTGGCGCCGGAAGATATATGGTGGAAGGGCCTCCCACGATCCGGCCCCCCCGCGATCCGGCCCCCCGCGACCCGACCCCGTCTCCCACGCGGACTGCCACGAATTACCGCCAAAGTCAGGACGCGCTACGTGAGACCATTCGTGAGACATGGTTGTATAAAAGCAACATTAATAGTGCCGCAAAACCTTGTAAACTAAAGTTTAATGAAAACATCACGCTCCCTGTCATTCTGCACTACTCTCCAATAAAAGTTCATACAAAAAAAAATATTTTTTTTTTTTTTTTGGCAGAAAGATGTTTTTTATTTGTAGGATATGCCAGGCTGAACGAAGGAAGAAATATGCAGGACAGAGAGAGTCACAAGGAACAAACACACGCACTTCGCTTGTTCCTTGTGACTCTCTGTCCTGCATATTTCTTCCTTCGTTCAGCTGGTATATCCTACAAATATGAATAACCAACGTGCTCAGCTTCAGGCAATCACAACGATGCTTTTTAGACGCTCATGGTGACCACAGTAAAGAAAATCGATTGAACCGCTATCTTGGCTCCTCAAGCCTGGGAGTTTCGGCACTCTGGGAACATTCGGTGACTCTATAGATTCCGCTCACCTCATACTTCTGTCCAGCTTGAACCACCGCAGCCGTATTGTAGGAGAGCTGTTGCTCCCCGTCTCCACACCGCTTCCATCTAACAAAACCAAGTCCTGTCAAAAGGGGGAACCCTATGCGCGTCGCTGACGGGCGCGGGCTAGCACGTGAGCCACGCCTTCTTTTCTCGGCTTCTGATTGGTATACCGCAAAAACACGCCGCGATGGAAAGTTGAGCCCGGATGGCGATTCACACAATCGCGTCGAGTCAGAGCAGCACCACCTAGACAGAAGGCCTCCGCATGGTGTCCTCTCTCTCTCTATGAAACGTCATCGGAGTCGGATCGCGCTAACTCGGCTACTGGGCCCGAGCCCGACCTTTCGACGCGCTGATTGGACACGAGCCCCAGCCGAACACTGCCATAGCACTCGTGTCCAATCTCACGCCTTGATCGATCTGACTGTGATGACGTGTGCGGAGACCTCCTGACCAGGTGGTCTTGGTCAGACCGAGTGCAACTGCGCAACGGCTTGCGACGGTACCGGTTACCATGGCAACAGCTGCGTCGGCTCCAAGCAAAGCCCTTTTTTTACCCCTTTTTGTTGGAGCCTACACAGCTGCTCTTACGTGGCGCTGCCCCAGGGCGCGAACAGCCGCTTGATACCGCAAAGTCGCCGTTTCGCACTATGGGAGCTAAAAAGATTCCGTGCATCGTACGTAGGGCTAACGCCAAGGGTCTTTAAGCCGCAGTCACAATGCTCATACATCACACACACAAAAAGAAAAAAAAAAAAAACAAGAACGCGGCGTACCCTGCAGACATGATGACATCATCATCTGCGGACACCCACCTTAAACATGTTCCAATCATGTTCATATGTACGTTTTGAACATGTTTGCAGACTATCTTTTGTATTAGCAACCTGACCGGCGGCTTTCAACTATGGCACCTGTCTTCGCCCAGGTGAGCGCCCGCGTGAAGCGCGTCTTCAAGGGCCCCCGCGAGCTGAACGGCTCCGTGGTGCTGGTCGAAGGGCTGGACGGCGAGGGCCTGTGCGACGCCAAGCTGAGGGAAGGAGACACGCGGCTGTTCCTGCTCGAGGAGGTGGCCGCCTCCATGGCTCGCACCAGGGTCCTGGCCAGTCCGCTGCGGGTCACCCTGCCCAACCTTGACAAGCTACAGGCGGCCGTCCACGGTACGGGATGATGATCATGATGATAATAAAAGTTACATTAGGCTAAACTCACTTCAAACCATGCAGCAAAAAAAAAATCATGCTTTAATTTATGGATAATATGTACATATTATCCATAAATGGATAATATGTAGAGACCCGGAGTTCCATTTTAAGTTCAAGAAATTTATTTCAAAACATTCGTAAAAAATACACTAATACGGCTTGTGGAGGTTGGTTATACGGCCAGGGGGAGATTATGTGGATGGCTAATCTTTGCGATGAATAGGGTAATTAATTAGTACTCATTAATTTACTTTTGAATTAGTGAAAATACATATAGGGTTCCAATTCGAAGCATACTGAGCGTCATCCAAAACCCCCAAATCAACTCTTTTTAGAACGACCTGAAGCTCGTGGGAAAATCGGGTGCGTGCCAAAGTTATCGCTCGTGAAGCAGGCGCAAAGCTAGCAGTGGCGGGACGCGGATGATTAGATTATCATCACGATCCGCCCCTACTATCTTTGCGCCTGCTGCACGAGTGGTAACTTTGGCACGCACCCGATTTTCCCACGAGCGTCAGGTCGTTCTAAAAAAAGTTGATTTAGGGGTTTTGGATGACGCTCAGTATGCTTCGAATTGGAACCCTATATCTATTTTCACTAATTCAAAAGTGAATTAATGAGTACTAATTAATTACCCGATTCATCGCAAAGATTAGCCATCCACATAATGTCCCCCTTGCCGTATAACTCACCTGCACAAACCGTATTAGTGCATCATTTTATGGAATTTTTTAAATAAAAAAGTTCGAATTAAAGTGGAACACTCGGTATATTCTAAACTAGGACGAAACTGAAAACAGTTTTTGCGTCATACAATTTGTTTTTGAGTTTATGACTCCTGGACCGAAGACGGATTTTGTAATTGTGCCGATCGTCACAAGTTGCGTATTTGGGAGCTTCTCCAGGCTCAGACCTTCCGCACAACGAAGACACTGTTTACGTATCTTTTTAAACTACATTAAAAGTGCAAGATACTCATAAACGTTTTTGATGTTTTTATTATATGTTTTTAAAAACCCAAAACCTCGCCCTTCTGACGATAATTCGCCGCGTTTAGCTAACTTTTGTAACAATCGATTTTATTACAAATTATTTATCCAGTGAAAGCTTAAAGAAATATATATTCAACAAGCACAATATTGTTGTAATCAAATAAAATTATTCTGGCGGAAAACGCCTTTAAATACAAGAGGAAACTCTTTCAACATCGACTTTATAGAAAAACAAAAGTTATATATTGTTTTCTGCATGAAGAGCCATTGGTATGGTCAAAGACATCCGTTCAAAATCAGATGTAATATATGATTTGTGATTATCAATTCGTAAATTTGTGAATAGGATATATTTGAAGATCAACTTTAAAATTCGAAGCCTGGTCGTCGTAATTTGTATGCCTATTAATTAACTAATTCTTGGCACCTTTTTAGAGTATTAGCTGGCATCGATTTAACACGCTATTTAAAACAAGCAAAAATGATGCGTATGAGGGATGTTATGTTTAATATACGATGTTTTTTGTACACGTACTCCTCCAATTTATTAACTGAAAAAAAAAACCCTGTAATCACAATAAATTAATTCTTTAAGAATATTTCTTGAGAATTGAAAGCTTATAGATGCAAAATGATGTCGTAATTGGATAAAAAAAATATTTTTGATGTGCCGGCAGCCCTAGCAGGAAATTTCAGCTTTTTCCCAACTCTCGCTTCTCCACGCACACTAAGCCTTGTAAGAATTAAAGAGACACTGACAGGGTATTTATGCTTGCCACGGTTTTTATTTGTACATTACATATGAGAGCCCAACTACCCAGAAAACAATTCGCGGCTCGAAATTCGTTTTCTTTCCGACCAAAAACCGCCGATCAAGAACTGGCCGGTTTGAGTCGCGCTCACTCTCTTCTCCGTGGGCACGTGCCGTTTTCTGTGGTTTACACGCAACCACCAAATATAATCGAAGCAGTAGGTCATTGAAGGCACACGCACAATATTACAAATAGAGAAGAAATATGATACTCATTTTTTGTGGCTTCTAAAAAGCTGCGAATGCGTTGTTTGGGGGCAAAAAAAAGTCTCACTATCACGTCACTTCCGCCACCTCTCTCCTCCTCTATATTTCTCTTTCTCTCCAGTCCAGTTTCGGTTGCAAGCAGTTGCACTTTTTTACTTTATTAAAGGGATTGTCCGGTCGAAACCGGAAGTACTTAAGTTCTTGCGCTCGTTACGTCGAGGGAGCCTTCATATAGACAAAGGTCATTTTTATTTTGATATATGATCTCCCGTTATTAATCAAACCTTTCATGAGCCTATGTACGAAACTGCACCCCGCATTTCGCCAGTGTCAATGGCCGACATCCGTAGGTGCTGCGTGACGTCACAAAACGCAAAGGTTTGTCGGATGTTCGGGATAAGCGTTGGTCGATGGATGTCTTGTATTTTGTTTTGAATTATATGGTCTCCTAGGCAGTACCCTACTGAAATACAATTATTTTAATGTAGTTCCCAAGCACGTGCAAAAAAAAAGTCACGCCTTTTCGCAGAATATTACTAGCAGACAGCCATAAGCTTCGAGTGCTTCGAGCAAATGTTCGCCGTTTTGCGCAAACACAACTGCGACGGACGTCGATCGAACCAGGGGCGCTTGCAAAGCAAAGGATGCAGATTTCGCCTCGGAAGCGGCACCTAGGTACACGAAGCGGCATCTGGGTACACATTTCGGCGGATCCACAGGATCGGTGATGAGGCTGCAGGTCATTCCCTCAGAAGCGATGTCCGCGGGTCGAAGGCAAACGGCGAACCGTTCAAATGCATGTCGTCACTTGACTAGGACGAGCTTGGTGAATCAAAGTCACGCCTCATTTTCACACGCGGGTCAAACAGATATCGGGCTGCACGCGTGCTAAATACAACTTCTGGTATCATTTCGAAATGGCCTAGCTGTTGGTTTCGGTTTCGCTGCATAATCAAGGTCTGTTCGATTCGGCCAGGAAGTTCTGAACTATAGTCGGTTACAAGTCAAGAAGGCAGCGGCGAATGCCCCTCAAAGAGAATCTTTGCATTTCGACGATAGGCTCGCGGCATCAGGTTGATTTTGCGTCGGGAGTCACTGGCGGCAGCGCGCGGTCGGTATACCGGTCACGTCGAAGACGGGGGCCTGACGATAGCGTCTTGGCCAAGACAGTTATCTATTTATTTATTTATTTATTCATGGTACCTCAAAGGCCAAATTAAAGGCATTACATGGGGGGGGGGGGGGGGGGGGGGGTACATTCAGGGTAAGTATCAATCAGAACAAAAGAATAGAAACAAAGTAAAAAAAATAAAAATAAAAAACACACACACGCTTTGAGGGAAAAAAAATCTTGAATTACAAGGAAAGAAAGCAAATACAAAGCGAAAGTACGTAGATAAAAGAAAACGGAAGTGAAAATGAAGTTATAATGCTAGCATGCGCGACAAGAACCCAAAAAGCGCTGATTCAAACTAAATGATGACAAACGATGACAATACAAACAAAAAAAAAAAAAAAACACTTTGACGCAAAAATAACAGAGTAAAAATGACAATAGAACAACAAAACAGCGAAATTCAGGATGCAGTGGGGGATCATCCGACCGTAACTTTGCCGTCAATTTTAAGCGAGAATCGGCAAAAATGCCGATTCTCGGCGTCTTTCCCAGGCCCGTTAGTGGGCGTCCACAGATACCAGCGGACAAAGCATGCAGTACTTTGCTCAGCTACGGGGACATGCGAGTGCCAACGCACTAAATCCCAACTTCTGCATTGTATCGGAGTCGACAATATGCATCCAAGAGCAACTGAAGTCGGGGACTATCAAGAGGGCAATACCTTCCCCGTGTCTGTAAGTAAGAATATCAACACTGTGGATCCCCACATAGCATAAAAAAGAAACAATTTACGTGAGCCAATATTTCAACACTCACCGCAGGGAGCCAAACCTACGCGAGCAGGTGCCTAAAACGCTTTCAGAATATCATGATCAAGCAAATTCCTACCCTCGGTTATGATCTCAATTCCGCGTCCACCGCGGGTACGTTATCATCATAAATGAGAGGAAATGCAACCTCCGTATCGGCGTTGTTGTAAAACTTCGCAGACATTTGAGCAAGAGCTGCGAAAAATGGCACCGCGAGCAGAGACGGACGAGGAGTGTCGTCTGCTATCGCCGTCTGCTTCTGCACGTACGCTGAACTCTGAGTCCGGAGCCGGTGTAAGATATTGAGGAACTGGGTCTGAACTCGTTTAGAACTGGGATGAATCGAAGGCGCCAGTGCAGCGGTCGTGCAACTTCCGGTTGAATCGAATGCACCAGTTCCTGCACTGCTGAACTAGTTCAGCCAGTTCAGGCGAATCGAACAGACTTAAATTGACTGATCCGATTTGGGCGAGGAGTGGGTGGACGTAGTTTAATATCGTTGGCACAGCATCACACCTCAGCTTACGAACCTTCTGTCCGCTTAGAGCTCAGCTCGTAGCTATCTTCTGTGAGATGATTCCTGCATAAGCGGGATCTCTATCTTGACGGGAACCCAGTCCCTACTCACGACGACGATCCACACGGAAAAGTGTGGAACGTCATGTGTTGGCTCGTATGTGCTGCCCGGTGGTTGTGGCACCCAACCGCGCAACAAAGATCTCACCCAACCACGAAACAAGTCGAGCACAACAACAAAAACGAAGCACGCTGAGGCGTTCACTCGCCAGGAAACGACGAGACAAAAATGCTCGCTTTGTGTTTTGTGACGTCAGAGCTTCAATGTTGCCAACGAAAGCAGCGTTTACGCTAGAATGCGATTGGAGCAGTATAAATTCAATTATTCATGCAGAAGGGCATATAAAATTCAGATATTGCACGTACGATCCGTCTCGAGGCAATAACAATAATATTCAATCGTTTTCTCGAATAAAAAATTTGACCGGACAATCCCTTTAAAC